TAAACGAACCACAATTTACAATTCGTTCTATGTTTTTTTTAGGTCGTTCTTGTCGTCTACCAAATATTTTAAAAATCAAATGGGTGTATGTGAGATCTTACGTCGGTTAGAGAGGAAAATGAAGAATTTCGAACAAGGGTGTGGAAACTTATCCCAATCATTTTAAAACTCTGAGAGGAAGTCCTCGAAATAAAAGTCCAAACGGGACAATATCTAAACCCTAAACCCTAAACCCTAAACCCTAAACCCTAAACGTTGGATTTAAGCTATATTAAAGTCCGAGAATCTTTAATTTATTATTTAAATTTATTGAGCCTTTTGAAAAGAAACCACCTCATCTCATCCCATTAAGGGCACATTAAGGACACACTGCCTCACACAATAAGGGTACGTTTCTGCTCTGGCTTCCATTATTATTTTATTCCCAAAACTGTCCTTTAGTCAAGTATAGGATTGATTGTCCTTTCCTTTCGTTTCCTTTCCTTTCTCTCTCTACCCTTAAAACAAAAAGGGTACCCTTCTTTTTCTCTCTCTACTACCCTCAAAACTAAAGGGTACCCTTCTTCAGGTCCTTTCTTTTCTCTCTCTACCCTTAAAACTAAAGGGTACCCTTCAGTTGTAGTTGTATCCATGTGAGGAAAGTACATGCAGACACGTATTGGAGAGAGAAGGTAGAGAGAGAAAGTAGAGAGAGAGAGGGGTAGCTTTTTTGGCAAAAAGTTGAGTCAGAATGACAAGTCTTTAACCATCACTTTCACTTTCTTTTTGGGTTTCTACGAACACTTTGAATATATTTCTGAATTTTCCTTTTCTTTTCAACTGCAAGTGGGTGAACAAAAGAACCAGATGGAGTTAGGGTCAGGGTCGGGTCAGGGTCGGGTCAGGGTCCTTAGAGAGACAAACTTATCAAATTTACCTTCAAATATCACTTTTACTCTCTTAACGGTTAAGAAACAACTATCATTTATAAGACTGTGTAAACCTTCTCCTCGTATACGCGTTTTAAATCCTTCAGGGAAAACTCGAAAGTGGAAGCCTAAAGAGGACAATATCTACTAGCGGTGGATCTAGGTCGTTACAAATATTAAATTTATGAACTTAATTGTTATAAATTTTATGATACCAGGACTAAGTTGTTATAATCAAAAGTGAAAACCCAAAGAGAACAATATCTGCTAGTGGTGGATCTGAGTCGTTACAAATATTAAATTTATGAACTTAATTGTTATAAATTTTATGGTACAGAGACTAAGTTGTTATAAAATAAAAGTTTCGAAATAAATTACTTCTTAGGACTAAATTTTTAACCTTAATTTTTAGTTAAATTCGTAAACAATTTTATTTCTAAAGATGTTTAATAAAGTGGTGTAATAAGTCATTAAACTTTTAATTTTTTATATAATAATTCTCTATTTTTCAATTTTATATGGATAGTTTTTTTTTTTTGGACATATTTTTTACTGACCAATTAGACATCCTTAAAAGTTCGGAGTACCAGTAGTTATTATAAAAAAATAAACCAAATTTATGTCTGATAAATTAATAAACGTTCAATTTCAAAATCTTTATAGGTAAGAAATCTATGGGATACAAAAATTTTAAAATTAAAAAAAAAATCTATAAAAAATAAAATTTAGAAGCAGATTAGAACCGTTTTTTAAAGGTTTAGAAATTTATCGAAACATTAATTTTTTAACCAAGAGATCGAGATTAGACAGAAGAATCTTGTTAGAAAGATGTTGGACAGTTTCGAGAGTACTTTTTTTTGTTTTTTATTTTTATTTTTATAATATCTATAAACCCTAAAACAAAGAGAGACCAATTTTTATTTAATTTAATTTAATTTATAGAGTATAGATATTGTGAATATTCCTTCAATTATGAAAAACTGCATGAAAAGAAAAGAAGATTTTGGGTTATTATTATTATTTTTTGAGAGAATGAAATGAATATCCAATTCTGAAATATTCTTTAAACACCAAAGTTGATCTGATGAAGAGTTTGTGTGTTCCAATGAAATTCATTGCCAACAATTCCTTTTCCTCTCGATTTCTAAATTAGGGTTATGCTCGAGTACATAAATCACACCTGAATGAACCCGTATTGTATTTATCTCGTTTTTTAAATTAGGGTTTTTCAAGACATTTTGACACAAAACTCGAGTGAAGAAACAGTACATGAATGAACGAGTACTGTGTCTATCTCGTTTTCTAAATTAGGGTTTTTCAAGATATTTTTACACTAAACTCGAGTGAAGAAATGATACATGATTGCACAGAGAAACGAAACATTCCTTGTAAGGGTGTGGAAACCTCTCTTTAGTGTCTCATGAAAGCCCAAATATGACAATATTTGCTAGTGGTGGAGTTGAACTGCTACGTGATACCATGAACACTAAAAAAATGAAACATTATTAACTTTTTTATGACAATGAAAAAATGTCGGTATAAACATTTTATTGATAATTTTCCTTTAATTATTGTTATAGAACCGACTATTTCTGTACCCTACCTTCTCTATCTCGATCATTTAGAGGTCCAGTCGACGATTGAAAATCCCATATTTATTATATAATAAATGAGAAAAGAATAATAATGAATTATTGTATAATGGAATTTTGACTGATTTTATTATAATTTTATACAAAAATATTTCATTTGTGGTGGACTCAAAAACATCTAATAATTAGTGTACCATCTATTTCAACCTCAACTAATTTACTAATAATTGGGTTTTTCTTACTTTATTATTATTATTATTTTTTAAATGTAATTATAATCTATAAAGTCCCAATATTCATATCTATATCATTAATATGAATGCTTCAACTACACTGAATCATGAACGGTTTAGGGTAACACATTTGAATTCTTTTCATAATTTTTATTTTACGACGTTGAGATTTTCAAGTCAATAGGTCGGTGATTTTTGATAACTTTACAATAATTGATATAGAAATACCAATTTTATGACAATATTTGCTAATAGTGGGCTTGGATTGTTACAAATGGTATCGGAGTTAGGCACTAAGCGATGTCTCAGCGAAGACGTTGAGTCTCGAAAGGGGTGGATTATGAAATCTCACCTCGGTTGAAGAAAGAAAGAATACATTTTTTACAAGAGTGTGAAAACTTCTCAATAACAGATACGACAATAACTTAATAGATTAATAGGGTTTAATGTTTTATTTTTACTCGTTCCATTGCGAAAAAAAAAGAAGGGGTGAAATGACAAGTGTAGCCTCTAGTTAGTGGCACAAGCAGCGGGCGTAGGAGGGGGGAGGCCCCAAAGTACGTAAGGAGAAGGGTCACCCACCCCTACAAATTTAGGGCTATAACAGCCCAATGGGAACTCGACACCTCACCTTACCTTACATTTTAGAGAGCTGTAGATTCCTTAACTGCAGCCCAAAAGAATGTACCGTTATTTTTACCCTTTTTTAAATGCCATTTATTATCCGCAGTAAAAATTTGTCTCAAGTCAAACACCTACTCCTACCCTACTTTTTCACCCCACTAACATTCTTGTGGTAGCAAAATAACACCGGTAAACTTTTAATCTCGAACCCGTCCTATTCTTATTAAAATTTAAACTCTAATTTAATTTTCATTAGTTCGTATTTCATCTTTTAACCATAGTAAGTTGTTCATTATTTTTAGAAAGACGTTGACGTGATAGACAATAAATAGAAGAAGTATACGTACCCGTGTAGTCGAGAATTTTGATATGTAAATTATAAAATAAGAATTAAAACCAATTTGAAAAATGGCAACGAAAAATAAAATAAAATAATAAATATATTTAACTTTTTGCTTTTTTGAGGCTTTACTTGGTGTAGTTTGGGCCAGCCCAAAAGTAGGAAATTAAGTTATTGGGCTTTTAGTCGGCCCATTTGTAAAATTAAGTTGGGCCCATGAGATCATATAATTTTTTAAACCAAAAACTAAAAAAATCATATAATTAATGTTTTTTTTTAGTTTAATATTTTATAACTAAATTAGTTAAATTATCCTATATTTATTTTATAATTTTTTTTATATAAGAATAAGGGATATTTGTGAGACTAATTTAATAGACATTAAACTATATGCATTAATTGATCCTATATAATAGATATATTATTTTAATTGAATAATAATGTATAATTATTGAAACTAAATTACTTTATTTAGTCATACACTTATAATAGATTACTATTTAGGTAGATATTTCAATAAATTAGTTTATTAATTTGATTCATTTAACGCGTTATTAATTAATTTTATATGATCTCCGTGATTATATGGTACTAGTCGTAGCGGTTCAAGCCTACTACTAGCAAATATTTTTCGCCTTGGCCCATTATGTATCACCGTCACCCCCACGATTTTAAAACACATTTACTATGGGGAGAGTCTAACCTTACTCCAATTAGTGTCTCACACCGTCTGATGACTAGCAGATATTCTCTGCTTTGGTCTGTTTTGTATCGTCGTTCGTCTCACAATTTTAAAACGCGTCTACTCTAGAGAAAGTATAGTCATAATAAAACCAGTGTGTCGCACCATCTGGTGACGGGTTCTGATACCATTCATAATAACTCAAGCCCACTGCTAGCAGATATTGTTGACCCGTTTCGTAACACAATCAGCCTTGCAATTTTAAAACACGTCTGCTAGTAAGAGATTTCTTCCCCCAATGGATGTGGAAACTCGATATTACAGATAATTCAATTTTGAATGTTGTGTCAAATAAAAGATTAAGACCGTCTCATAGGGATCGAACCTTAGATCGCAGGTAGGTGTGAGGGTAGGGGTAAGGATTCGTAAATAGGGTATACCATAAAGGAGGCAACCTTGGAAAGGAGTGGCATGTGTGCGGGGGAGATGAAAATGGAAGAAAGAGAGGTAAAGAAGAGGACCCATTCAATTGGTTTGTGTCGAGAAATATGAGTAACTGAATCCACCCAATCAATCAATCCAAAACGAATTCTCAGGCCTCACAATCAACAAAACCCAGAAGAAGAAGAAGAAAAAGAAGCAGAGCAGGTAGATTTCTACAATTATGAGTGGCGCTGCTTCTCTCAACACTTCCCGCTCTGAATTGGACTTGGATCGTCCCAATATTGAAGATTACTTGCCTTCCGGATCCTCAATCCAAGAACCCACTGGGAAACTCCGCCTGTAATCTCCCATTTTCTCTCTCTTTTTTTTTTTTTTTCAATTTCATATTGCTTCGAGATTTTTGTTCTTTTATGATGCCATCTGATTCGTTTGATTGTCATTTCTTAGAGATTTGATTAGATTATTAACTTGTCGATACTTCTTAGGCGCGATTTGCTTGATATTTCGCCGACGCTCACCGAAGCTGCTGGTGCTATTGTTGATGTGAGCTTTCCCTCCTCATCGTTTTCAATTTCTCTTGTCATTTTCATTCATCGCTAATTGGTTGTTTCCTTTTCGTCCTGGAATTCAATTCTTTGAGAGCTGAAAGTTCCCCTCCAATTTGATCTTCAAAATTTGTTTGTTTTGATGATGAATGCATAGGATTCGTTCACTCGGTGTTTCAAATCAAACCCACCGGAGCCATGGAATTGGAATATTTATTTGTTCCCCTTGTGGTGCTTTGGAGTCGTCGTTCGGTATCTGATTCTCTTCCCAGCGAGGTCAGCTTGTTTCGGAATTTAATTTTTGTTTCACTGTTGAGTACATGCAGCGTTGATCTGATAATGACATGTTTACTTCAAGTTATAGGAACTAACTTAAGTTTTGTTGAGCTAATGGTGCAGGGTTCTCATATTGACAATAGGATGGATAATATTCCTTTCAACATTCATTCCTGTGAATCTACTTCTGAAAGGGCATCCTAAGCTGAGAGCTAAGTTAGAGGTGTGAATGCTCAATTATATATCTTGTCTGCTTATTCTTTTATTTTCCCCATTACGTGTTTGAATTATCTATCTCGTGTGCCAATCTAAGCATGACTTAGTGGATAAGGCTTTAAAGGTCTATTGTTTGATCCTATTCTGATAAGAAATCACTACAAGATTTGGATTACCTTGTTGATCGAATATCTCAAGGCAAGAACGCTTGTTTGAGATTCGAATCATTCCACAAGAAAGATTGATTATGTCAAGCTTGAATGATTCTACGTGCAACCTAAACTACATAAAATTACAAAGAAACTTAGTCATGGGCTAAAGGAAAGCACAAATGCCCATTTTACTACATTTTCCAGTCTCCTTACAAATACAACATATATGGCTTTATATAGCCTCAAAATGAAGCCGTTGACCTTCCATTAGACATTTCAAGAGTTTAACATTCATCCTTTATGGCCATAAATAAAGTAAATAAAAAATCCTAAAATGTATTAATGAAACATCATAATTCTAAATTATGATCCACCCGAAATTTATAACAATGAAACTTGATTCTTCTTCAATGTGGCATGAATTGAAACATTTTTTTGATAGACAATGTTTTCTTCACATCTTCCTTCAAGTTTATATTGCATGATTAATGTCTTGGCTCATATTGTCTTCCCTCAAAATTTCTTACTCAACAATATATTTATCCTGTTCTTATTTGCCTGTCTGTCAAGAATTCTTCTGTGTAATGATTATATATTTCCTTTGTTAGAGGTTTTTGGTGGAGTTGATTTGCAGCTTCTTTGTTGCATCTTGGACTGGAGTTGTCAAGTATCATGGGCCACGGCCTAGCATCAGACCAAAACAGGTATTTGGGATTCTAGGCTACATTTTGCAAATGTGATAGCATATTTTCCTTTTTCAAGATTTTGAGCATCACTTTCAGTGCTATATTGTTCTTTTCCCCTTCCTTTGTGTAGGTTTTTGTGGCCAACCACACTTCCATGATTGATTTCATAGTCTTGGAGCAAATGACTGCCTTTGCTGTTATTATGCAGAAACATCCTGGGTGGGTTGGTGAGTGTATTTATTATGCAAAATATGTTAAATGAAGATTTACTTGAAGCTTGAAAGAGGAACTCTTGCTATTAATTACCAGTTGCCATATTCATCACCGTTCCTATTAGTTATTACAATTAGGAACGGTCGGCGTAGTGAGTAATCAGGGAAGGCCATATAATGGTCTTCATATTGTTTCTTACTATATGTTATATGTTGTTGAAGGACTGTTGCAAAGCACTATATTGGAGAGCATAGGATGCATAGAGTTCAACCGTACCGAGTTGAAGGACCGTGAAATCGTAGCAAAGAAGTAAGTGTCCCCATACAGTGGGAGCACAAGAATTACAATAAACACTGGGTGGTAGTGGAATGATTAAGAAATGAATGATCATTGAAACTTCTTCTCTTTTAGGTTAAATGATCACGTTCAAGGGGCTGACAACAATCCTCTTCTTATATTTCCTGAAGGAACTTGTGTAAATAACCACTACTCTGTTATGTTCAAGAAGGTATTGCTTTTATAGTACTTCTTAAATTTTCTGCCAAGGCTTTAATCTAATTGATGACCATAATATTTGATGTACATTAAGGCTATCAGTCCAGTTTTTATTTATTTGGTTTAAACCTAAATGATTTCAGGGTGCATTTGAACTTGGCTGCTCTGTTTGTCCAATCGCAATCAAATACAACAAAATTTTCGTCGACGCTTTTTGGAACAGCAGGAAGTAAGGAGCTTTTTGTGGAGGAATATTACATGTGTTATTTGATTAATTTTTGTTGTTAGAAACTTAATTCCTGTTTGATTGTCCAGGTAAGTGGCAGAAAATACTTTTCAAATTTATGAAAACATGTTTGACATATTATTTGTTTAGGAAACTTCAAGAACATAAACAAATTATAGACTTGCTTTGTAACCGCCCAAACCTACCGCTAGTAGATATTGTCCTCTTTGGCATTTTCCTTTCGGGGTTGCCTTCAAGGTTTTTAAAACACGTCTGCTAGGGAGAGGTTTCCATCCCCTTATAAAGAACATTTCATTCCCCTTTTCAACCGATGTGGGATCTCACAATTCACCCCCCTTTGAGGCCCATTGTCCTTGCTAGCAATCGTTTCACTCTCCAGTCGATGTGGGATCTCACATGCTTAGACTATGGTTCGTCATGGATTAGTGTGGTTAAGCTCCTCTGACTTTAACTATAGTTGGGAAGAAATTAATGGATATTTTAAAACAAGCATCTTCCCTTGTTAGATCGTTTTGATTCATCTAGACTCACCACTTCATCCTGGTGTTCTCTTTCTGAGTAACTCTGTGAATCTGCACTTTTTGGCTGGTATTTTTGTTATACATTAGCATGGAATTGGTCGTTATATCAGGTAGATGATTCCCAGACCGTCTATTATCGTTTTTCAGGCAGTCATTCACCATGCATCTGCTGCAGCTTATGACTTCTTGGGCTGTTGTTTGTGATGTCTGGTACCTGGAGCCCCAAGTTTTGAAGCCTGGAGAAACACCCATCGAGTTTGCAGAGAGGTAACCTTAGTTTCCACCTGAATGTTGTAGTAGTTCTACTATTACTATCAGCAGCATCATATCTTTCTGCTAACCTTTCTTGTTCCACTGGCCTTAGGCTGCTCTAATTTTGGATGTGATTGTTTTTAACAGGGTTAGGGACATAATATGTGCTCGGGCAGGTCTTAAGAAGGTTCCATGGGATGGATATCTGAAGCACTCTCGACCGAGCCCTAAATACCGTGAACGAAAGCAACAAAGCTTCGCCGATTCGGTTCTGCAGCGATTGGAGGATAAGTGATGTCAGCCAGTACCTAGTCTTGAAACTGCTTTTACCCTTGGATACCAGGTTCCAGCCCTGAACCTATTTCTAGGTTAGAGTTGATGATTCGAGTTACTGTCGAGTATGCACTCCTGGTGAGTTGGAATCTTCTTCCCAGCATGGAATCGTGTAGCGTTACGTAGATTGTGAACGCCATGCAGTGTTTAGTTTTCGTTGAGAATTTTAGAACAATATCTCTTAAAAGAGTCTTTATCATATTCTTTGTTGTCCTGTAAGTGAGCTTCCTGGTTTTTCTCTGCATTAGCCCAAGTTTTTGTTGCTGTTGGATGTTTGGAAGTGTTTAAGTATGTTCTTTCATTTTTTGGTCTGTTTAAATATGTTCTTCTAGACCAACTAAAAGTAAACTGAAAATGGAAACAAAAACAGAAGCGAAGTCAAAAATGGAAACTGAATCGAGCGCTAGATTCGAGCTTTGGAGTGTTCCGACTTGTTCTTAGATCAAATGTCGAAAAAGAAGGGAAGAAACTAAGGAATCTCAATGATTGATTTAAAAAACGAGCGAGATCCAAGATTTAGCACATGTACACAACCGATCAATTTGGTAGTTTCACCTTCGTGATGACGTAAAAAAGTGGGTTAAATTTCATTTAAGCTACCGAAAATGGATCATCCGTAAAAATTTTCTTAACAAAATGATGATCGACAACGTGAATCTCATATTGAGACTTGGTTTAGTACGATAGCCATTTGATTTATTATTTTTGAAAATTAAGCTTAAAAACAAGTTATACAAGGCTACCACATAAACTACAAATAAGAAAATTACTCATTAAGCCTTTCATCTCACCCAAAAAGAAAGCTGTTGTTTAGTGGGGAATCTCACTCGTCTCTGCATGCAAATCAACATTTCCTGTTTATAATCAAACACTAAGATGATCAGTCTCTTCCAAAAGCATAAACTCAGATCAATAATTCCAATGAAAATAATGCTGCATTGTAACTTGAAGCTGCTCCCTCACTGCATGATTCCAGGAGCATGCTACTTTTAAGATTGTTAAAACACATTTAAATGACAAGTTTTTAACAAATCTCTGTACTAATATATAGATATATATGTGTGTGTGTGTCCACCCCAGAAATAAATTATGCAGAATATCCCAGTTCTGATTATCATAAGCCCTATTTACAAGAATGGTAAAAGCCCAACATAGTCTGTAATCATGATACACTAACCCATAATAGATAAAGTAAAATCCTCTGTGCACCAAGAAATTACCTTGGCATCTGGTTGCACATCATACCAGGAGTTTTCTACGGAATCTTCCCATCATTGCTATGCCTCACTGCATTTGGAGAGGGTTCACACAAAGCAGAATGCTCTAAAATTCAGGCACATCTCTCACCTATTGGGACTCCACTTGATAAGTGAACCACAGCCATTCCTCTTTTTCTTGCTTCGATTATAAAGAGAAGTACCTATTCTTTACTAGTCTCTGGTGATCCATCGGCGGCCAGCAACTTGGTACTTACCATAACCCTGATCGCTGCTGCTTTCTCCGCCACTTTCTGCACTTATATAACCTGATTTTCGACGGTTCTTCTTTTCCCGAACGACCGTGCTATCACTGAAGCTCCCATTCAAAAGGGGGTCATCGATTCCTCGAATGACTTTTTGTGTGGGCGACTTAATACAACTGTCATCCTTGGTTTTTTTTTTATCCTTGTCTCGTTTCTTAATGTTTTGGGAGAGCTTATGCAGTTTTTCATTGAACTTCGTTATTCCTTTTTCCACAGGTTCAACTGCTTGGTTTACTGTGAATTTCAGGTCGTTCACAATCTGTAAGGCAGTTCAAAAGGTCATATCAGGTAGTAGAAATAACTGGAATTACTGAAGAAATATGAACATAAAAGGCCCCAAAAGATTATTTCAACTGTAGACCTACTGAACCTTTTTGTGTAAGAAGTATCTATTGTCTTCCAAAGGCACTTTTGGCCCGCCGGAAGTAGTCATTATGGTCGATGGAAAAAGAGAAAATGTATGTTCCATAGTGCATGCTTTAAAATAGTTTCCCATGAGAAAATATATATGGGCGTACCCACATGTATGTTGTTTTTGTTTGTATGTACGTATTCAGTGCCAAATTAATGTGGCAAGTTATCTTAAGAAGCAAAAAACACCACAAGACATTAATTTCCATCAATTAGATAAGTCAAGGATGTAATATATAGAGTGAAGGGGATAACTTACATAGCCCCCACCACCAACAAAAACATCTCGGACACTCTCTTTGATTGTCATTCCCATCTTGGGGTCTTGGTCTTCGAGGTCAGGCTGGGGTAGGCGTAACTTTGTAGGACGCTCGCTATCCCTGACCTCATCTGGATCTAAAGGACAGTCGACAGATGCATAATCGCCAAGAACAGAAACACTTCCAGGATAACGGTCCCCCATAAGTTCATAGGGTTTTGCAGAAAATACATACAAGTGAATCATAGAAGCAATGGCCATCTGTGCTGGATAAATTTATAGATGTGTTAAAATTCAGTCTTGTGAATACAAACATCAATAATCAGATGACACGTTTGGAATGAGTAAAGAAAAAGGTGAATCACAAGACGAATACATCTGTTGATTTCTTACCAACAAAAACCTGTTTTCACTACAAAAAAATCACTCCAAACTGCGTTCTTCAAAGCACGGAAATGAAACACTTACCAACAAAAAAAAAAAAAAAAAAAAAAA